TACTGTTTCACGGATTCCCTATTTACTTATATGGGATTTGGTTAGATTTCAGTAATCAATCATTTGTATAAACGTATCTCTGTTTTAATTGTTCTGCTACATCTTTATGAAAGTTGTTTGCATACGATTTACGAATTTTCTTACTGAAAACCAAATAGAGTCGTTCGACACTTAACTATGTTATTTCTTACAAAACACAAAATATACGAAAAACAAAATGGATGGCGTACAACCCGCATTTTCTCTAGAATTCAAATTAATAAAAACAGGGAGTAATTAACAATTTTCATTTTCCCTTCACTTAGCCTTACATGTTGTAGATCGAATGTAACATTTTTGGTGAAGTGAAGCTTTATATCAACCAAAGAAAACGGAATATCGGTACAACAATTTTACTGTAAATATATAAGTCACCTAAAGTTTCACACTATACTGACAGCTAAAATGATAATACTACGGTGAATTGATTATATATTACAGCTCTGTTATATCCGTCATCTTCCATAAGCTAGACGCTGGAAGGCTTGGCTCAAGTGCAAAATACCAGTTAGTGTGAGCAAATAAATACTACCATGGGTCTAACTAAAATCTTCATTTATTTATCGTGTACCCCACTCTTCAATAATGAGACATAACCGTGACAATTATGTTATGAGCCAAACTCAATATGTAATATCTGCTTCTTTTTACCTGACTTATCAACAATTTTCTTAAATCAAACTATAAATTAGGTGAAGAAAGGGACTTATTCACTTTTTTGGTATGATCACAGTATATAGTGTTTGATTACTCCTGACTAGTAAACTGTAGACTGTATATAATTTTCTAATAAATTTCCGTAATTCTCCCAGAAAATAGTTAAACATCCAATTTTCAATCCTCTTAGAAGCACCGTTTGTTGATCCTAAGAACTCAGTGCAATACGTCCATATTTCAGTAAATAAAGATAATAATAAATTTTCAAGTTTTACAGCCCACAAAATCACATACATGCATTATTTTATCATTCTAAATTGTCGATAACACTAAAATTACCAAACGAATGATCCATATGCTCCAACCTGTGGCAAATAAATTACCATAGTCCACACCAGGAATGACAAACATATTATTGAAAGCTATGGTTATACTTCTTTATATTCTTTAGGTGTTCACAGTTAGTTTTCTGTTTTGATTGGTGGTAAACTTCTTTCTCATTTTATCAAAGTTGGTAAATCGTGTTAGTTTATTTCACTTTAATATAGTGGCTCATCTGATGTCCCGCAGTCTTACTTTCATCTTATCGTAAATGAATCTTAGTGTTAACAGTTGATTGGATTGTTTTGATGTTTTACTAACGATTGTGCTATAGTTAACCCCTAATGGGCTTGTGTTTTCTGAGTTATCATGGACTTGTAAGTATATATCCAATAATACAAATGTATCACATCTCAAAATCATTCAATTACCTCTTCTTTAGGCACACGATTATACTCATTTTGTAGCATACGTTTCTCGTCTTTCAAGCTTTCTATGGTATAATTTAATTCATCATTTCTTTCTTCAATTTGTAATAAACGATTATTTGCATTCAAGAGTTGTTCGCGCAGTTTATCTGCTTTTGTATTATAACCTTCAGGATAATTGTCAGCTTTTGATAATGATTCGTTTAAACTATCTAGTTGAGTGGACATTTTTTTAGATAACTGTAGTAAATTGAACTCGTTATCTCTTATTCTGTTTGTTTTATTATGTGGAAAAAAATATACAAAAAATAATATAAGCTAACATAGAAACAAATGTTAGTTAAAAGGAAACTCTTAATTCTATAAAGAATAAAGAAAATCAGGAGATAGTTCTTTTACTGCATCAGCAATGAGCACTTATCAGCAGACCTAAATCGAAACAAAATGCAAATCAGTAAACCTGGATGTAATCTGAGAGAATGTGAATTAAAATATGGGAAAAACATCAAATTAGTTGGCTGAAAAATTATACAAAGATAAGTTTGAGTCCATGTTTACCTGAAAAATAACGTCATGATTGGAAGGATAAACTTATACAAAGGCTAGTGTAAATACAAAATATTCAATTAGTATTTGAAGATTTCGATTATTGTTTGTGCCAATGTAACAAATTTATGGTTATTAAAAATTTCGTTTCCGTTAAACAGAAAAAGAAAACTAACTCGATAATATCATAGAATTTTCCAGAATTTTTATAAAAACTACCAGAGTCTCCAATTAAAAAACATGGCAGGTACTCAAAAATTTGTTTATAAAAGTTACAGCAACCCGCATTCTTTGGACTTCACCAAAGAATCCAATAAATTCCCCATCATGTTTCAGTGAGGAGGTTCTTACCCTTTTTCGTGAACATAAATGGGATCACAATTGATTGATCACTGGGTGACCAATGTCATGCTTGTCTAGTCCTTACTATTAGTGCAGATCGAATGCTATCGATCATATTGCAATGTGGCTACCAGTCTAGGTGACTCGACACCGCGGGCACTATTGTAGGATTAGATGGTGGTTGGAGGTAGTCGACAGGAAACCCTGAACCCGGGTTTCGTGCTACTTGGCACTCGTCAGCAAGGTGTACCTGCCAGGGAGCACCAGTTCCCTGAAAGATTACAGGTACACCTTGCTGACGAGTGCCAAATAGCACGAAACCCGGGTCCAGGGTTTTCTGTCGACTACCTGCAACCACCATCTAAAGTAAATGGGACTTGGATAGATATGGGCTTTTGATCACTGATGTGAAACATTCTCAATATCAGAAAGCCAAAACTATCTATGTCTTGTCCCACTGAAAGTCCAGAAAGTGGTATGGGGAAAAGCTTGCAAAGGAGTCTATAGAATAACCTAGTGGCTTATATCAGTGCATATATCAGAGGACTAAATGAAGAGATAGAACCTCAGAATTATTAGGGGGAAGGACAATAGAAATACATCACTAGTGGAAGACCATTATGGTAAAGCTTAGGTATCCTCAAATTACTTTAGCATTATATATACCGTAGCGTTGTCCCTCATTCGGCTCACAAACAATCAACACTCTGAACATTATCACCATTAAAGAACTCGATACTTTTGGTCTGTTAAACAAGTTTGATAAGGGTTAATTCATGGGACTCCGTGAACACATATTAGATTGCAATAGGGGCTGACATGTTTTATACCGAATTCTTTAAGTATGTGATTTATTTTATCAGTAACCCAAGGTAGATTACTAAAAGGCTGAAAGAACATCATAGTAAGTCCTGTTTTCAAAACAAACATGAGACAAAAACCTGAGAACTATTGACCTGGGAACGTAACCGGACTGGTTGTTAATATTCCATAGAATATTGTTTGGAAGGATTTTTTTAAGTTTGTTGACAAAAACCTGGTTTACTCCTGAAAAACAGAATGGCTTTAAGACGGATTATTCATGTTTCAATAACATATTGAAGGGACAAAAAGTTGATGTGCTTTTGAAAATTAAAAGCCACATATAGATATGGCCTTCGTTGACTTCAGTAAGGCCTTCAATAAAGCTACATATAGCCGGTTGTTACCTAAATTAGGTGATGTTAGGATTGGAGGCAGCTTACTTATAAATATGAATAAATGATTTCCTAGTTACGCGTCTTAAAAGCGTACGCATTAACTCCAAGTTGTCTAGCTGGAAAACCGTGAGTTGAAAGTGTTGTTTCTTCTGTTTGCAAATCACCTTATTAGTTTCTTAACACTACCGGTTTTGTTATTAGCCAATGTTATCAAGATAAAGAAAGCGATAAAAAACGAATGTATAAGTTTATAGCTTCGAAATAGCCGAAAAAATTATTTAAATGTTTTTAAATTTGACAACTGCCGATGAACGCATGCAAGCGCATTACTGTACATATTGGTCACTAAAATGCAGATACATATATGGTGAGTAACACTGAGCTACCTGCTTTCCAGAAACATATTTCACATATTTCACATATTAAAAACAAAATAAGATTGTCCTGCAATTACAGGAACGGAAGTAACGACTGAATAAAAATGAGTGGAGTATTTGAATGTTCAATAACCTACTGTAACTATAATAAATGAATCGGTGGTGGATTGTAGGGAGCACATCGGTTCTCTAAGATTTATAGGTGGCTGATAAATGCATATAATTTTAAATTATGTTCTCGTTAATGAAACTTGATTAGCCTGTAGTAGGTATGGAGTCGCGATTGACTATGATCACCACTAAAGTAATACGTGCCAGTTACCAGGTTATACCTCTCCCTAGGCCAAATATCAGAAGGCGGTTGAAGGCTGTAGTAAGATATACTTGTTGACACTCTCGACACTTATTACAAAGCTTTATTGAAAGCCTTATTGCTCCGAGCAAATAATTTTTAGGGGGTTTGACTTTAGACACGAAGTTGATAACAAGTAGTAACCTAGTCATACATCAATTATCTAAAGCAAAAACTAAAAACCATGGGCTTCACGCAAAGTTGAAATTTCAATGAATGCACATACTTAGAAAGAAGGCCACTAAGTTTGAAGAAACGATGCTTCATTTGAGCGATTTGTACACTGCTCAACTTTCCTTCATATCCTAACTTTTCTACCGCATCAATTGCTGAAAAAAAGCCTCTTGGTGACGAGTAATCTTTAATATCCTTGTCGTGATCAGTTTTATTGTTTTCTAGCCCGTCTGAAGCAACGGAAGGTTCGTGAATACAATTAGGCCTGGCGATAAGGAATTTGTCGTTTGATTCGTCTGTAATCAATGTTTATTTAAAATTATCAGACCATCATTTGATTTAGTAGGTATTTCTTCTGTAGAATCTTTAGGATTGTTCTCATTAGACATTTCAAAAATACTTCACTTCCATGCATTCAAATTACCGCAGAACAGCCTAGGTGGTTGTCATGACAATAATAAATAGAACTTAACAGATACTCACAAGTCATTTTTTTAAAAGAAATATCAAGTTTAGATTGCGATAAATATTTGTTAATATAGTTAAAAATTATGTTTTAATAGTCATGAATCACCTCAAGTTGGTTGTGGTCGGTCCAAACGAGGTTATCATTTATAAATATTTATCTGATTTTCGATATTTTAGTGTGGCAAATCATATATCTGCAATTTTCTTTCAGAAACTGTAGATCAAGTTACCGGTGGATATCATCCAACCAGTGGTGTCAGGTATGTTCATTCCTCACCTGTTAAACAGTTGCCTAATTACTCACAATAACCAATCTTTACAATGTAGAATATTAGAATATGAACAAAAAGTCAAAATAAAAGGAAAAACCAGCAAAGTTGAAGTCGAGCTATGGGATGCCAGTGGAGATAAAAAGTAAATCTATTTATGTTTGTGATGGTCCTCATAGGTATGAAACTTGCTGGCCGGCTATTTTCAAAGGGTCTCATGGAGTTGTTTTTGTATATAACCCTGATAATCTTAATCATGTAAATGATCTACAAAGTTGGTGAGTTTTTTTTACTGCCACTTTTTGTAGGTATCGAGCAGTGCCGCCTAGTTTGGGTTTGAGCGAACAGCAAATGTGCATCATTTGTCACAAAAAACCAGACACATCAATTCAGGACACGGTTTCTCTTCGTAAGCCGAATGTATGCAAAACTACCTGTTACTTATAGCGGACGATCTACATAAAATACTTCACTTGTTTTCTAATATACCAAAGGATGGGGAAAGACTCAGAGAACAGTTTGGGAAATTTGTATCACATGTAGCATGGGGCAGGGTGGAGGCAAGTGAACAAGAAGAACTTAAAATAATGAACAGTTAGAGACATGGTTGGTTTTTACAACTCTGCCTCATTATCAATCTTATTTTGTTAATGATGCGAAAATATTGCTTACAACATATTTTTTCGGTCGTTGCAGTTTTCATTTTGTCCCTAATAAATCTGAGTATTTACAAAAGCATCAATTTTTTCAAATCAGTGGCAATGGGTTAAAATCTTTCGTATTCGCTACATATCGATCGTACATGAGACAACTAAGTCACCGGCTGTCTTTGTGTTAGCAAACAAAAATTCATAAGGACGTTTTTTTTCGAAACATCACGGCAAAAGTAAACTAGAGGGTATTCGTATTTTAGACGATAGTAAAGGACAATGATCTAGTGTTTGTGGATGTATGTCAGTTTGTGTAGATCTTTATAACTGCCTTTTCTTCTATGTTACAGTCTTCACAATCCTGTTATTCCGAAAAGTATCTTTATATAAAATGGGGCGTGCTGACCGAAAAGATCCACAGGTATTTTGGCACATTGATATGGATAGATATATTTAATCTCACTCATAGTACTTTCGCCTCCCATACGAGTAAAACACTGGTTCGTACCTAATGATGAGCCAAAAAAATCAGGATGTGGATTTAGGTTCGATTCAAACGAGGACTTGAAAACACTAGAATACGAGATAACCTCGTAGTGTTGTAAATGCTTATGGGCATCCACAGAAGCACATTGAGTCCCAACATAAACTTTGAATGAATTACTCGGAATTTGTTGGATCACTGAAGCTGGTTGGATTGTTGGAAAATTTTTGTATCAAGCATGAATGTTCACCACCATTTGAAATAAATTCCTCTTAAAGTTCTATAAAAAAGCCTTGACATTTTCTCGAAATCCCAGAATAGACTTTCATGTTGATTTACTGGAACTGCTTTCAGTTCTTTACACGTGATTTTATTCTATTTTGTTCACAGTTTATAAAATCCATAATTCACTTGTTTTGGTCTCAGTCATGTTTATGTTTTTTTGATTGCTATTTGGCAATTCGTAAGATTGCGATAATCATGTCTATATATTCTTACAGAACTTCGGATTTGTTGTTGTTTGTTGAAGGCATGTATGTTTTGTTTTATTATAAGTACCTGGCTTCTTTAAATATCATTACTAAGTATTATATAAAATGCAGTGTTTACTACCTAGGCGGATTAGCTGCTCTCTTAAAAGTTACTGTACTCAATTTTTACACTGAATATGGCTTACTTTATTATTGAGCAGATAATAAAAGTTCATAACCTAAAGACATACTGTACGTGTTTTAATATAAAACTGCTAAGTAATTTTCTTTCTTTTTTTGCACTACGAATTCTCGCTACATTTGTGGTATTGATATTGACATCTTTGACTGAGCATTAATAGAGACTTCCATGTGAGTGTTTATCATTAAACAGCCGAAAAATGCCAAGGATTAGTTCACCTGCTGGCTACAATGCTAGGGCTCAAAATCCTAATTTTATGACCCTACTTTCTTCAGAGACTATTATTGTTGGCGAAGGTTATTGATTTTTAATTTCTAATGTACCTGTTCTACATTGAAACTCCATAAGACTTTTATAACATTAGGGAGTGATAGAAAGACAATTGGAATAAAGAGGGGTTTGCGCCCACAAAGGTGTGTCCACAAAACTGAATTAACCTATTGTTCATGAAACCATATAAATTATAAGTTACTGTTGACCACACGATAATTTGTTGTGTTTACAGAGATTATAAAATAGAAGATTAAATCTTAAGAACAAAATCAGTTCATCCCACTTTGAAGACTCTTCTGTTAGAGACGTTTACACAAAACATAAAACTTTTGGACTGAGAGTATATAGCCGTTGTCTTGTGAAAAAAAACAAATGGTGAACTTTGAGACAATACGACCTAGATTACAATCATTCACTCCAAAAAACTGTTATCAAGGCAGATTTCCGAAAACTAATAATGCTTGCAAAACCAAGTTTAAATACAGGTTGATTATGTATTTTTGAGTATCCGTTGTAGATTGTTTTAAACATATATAAAAGTCTCAAGATAATGATAGAAAAATGATAACTGATAGTTCCATTTTAGTTCAAAAATAAGCTACCTTCAAACGTTTTAAACATTTTTAAAGCAAACATTACAATCAGATATAAAAACCGACAGTAGCAGAATATTGAATTATTATTAATATTGCGGGATTTATACTGGCCATCACTTACGGATTTTGTAATCAGCAAGTCATGAACAAAAGTTTTATTACATAGATTGGAGTGTAAATCAGAATGCAACTATATTACAGAACACCATATAAACTCTAATTTCCCAAATGATTACTCTTTAGTTACAGACTTTTGGTTTTGAAAGACTTGTTTGTTAATTTAGAAGACTTTGACCATCTATAGGAAGTCTGTTTTCATCTGTAAGTCTCTTGATGTAGTTTTATTCTGATAAAAACAAGAATATTTTGGTTACTTTACCAAATATATATATATATTCACAAGGCTTATTTCTATAGTAAAACACTACTGTCACTCCTTAAACGTCAAAATGAAAAAATAATAAATTATAGCTGAATTAATATTGTAATCCGATTGTTTCCACTGTTGAACTTACAGAATTTGCTCACTAATTGAGCAGCCACCCAAATGGAATCATGAAGTCCTATGTAGTAAGATATATATATATATATATATATATATATATATATAGATCCGATTTTTTAAAGTGGAATCCTTTTGCCGGAATATCAGATTGAATTTAAAAGGTACTGGGTGAAACTTCTTATTCGGTTGGGAGTTTGGTTTGCTAACGTATGTATATTCTACATGTTATAAAAAATCCGTATCATAATCCAGTCATCAACGCTGATAATTTTTGATATTATGTTTAGCTACTTATAAGTAGGCATACGTTTGTGCCGAAACTTCATTTTTATAATTAATCTATCTCAAGAAAATAAAACATGCGTCCAGTTCTTCTCTAAAACGTATGTTTCACTTGTAGACCTTAGCCCCCAAATCATATTGCAAGTCGCTAAAGTCTCATAAAAATATATTAACTTTTTATGATACGTATACGGGTCTGATTTTGTACATGGTTGATATTAGGGACTACATTTTATCAGTATATTTTGGTATTTCTCCATCCTGGATGGATTACCTTGATATTACCACTAAGCAAAATACTGAGAAAATGCAGTCCTGAAATATCAGCAACGAAAAAATACAAACCATTGGATATGCATATATATTTATATCCATCTAACAAGTTGTTATATGAGCTCAATAGCTTGACAGATAACAAGATATCATTTAAAGCGAAAAACGAAGTATAACTTTATAAAATATCATACGAATAGTTTTATATATCTTTTTATAATACTATTGGAAGATGCTTGAATTATTTTATCTTTTTTTTATTAACCTATTTCTAAGTGTTTGTTTGATCTATCGTATTCAAACTTATTCAGACTTATCATCAATCATTACTCCCCTATTACTGTGATCTTGTGTCTCTTATAACCAAGTTACAAACAAATTTTAATTGTGTTACTGTACGGTCAGACATTTCAGTTATATTATTGTAAGAGTTTTAAGTCATAAATGAATTGACTAAAATAAGGAACTGATCTGTTTTTATTTTCCTTTTATGTGTGAACATTAGGTTATAACGAGATTGCGAGTCCATAAGCGTTAAGCTCTTGGTTGTTGTTCATTGGTCGGTTTTGCTAAATAGCACTTAGATTAGCAGTCCCAAAGGATAGATAGCTAAACCAATCGATAATCGGATAAGAAAGAGAATGACGATATAATTGCTTTTCTTCTCATCATGACCCGATCATATGAGTCCAACACAACTTAACAATCTATATTTCTTTCGAAATAACACACAGCCTTGAGTACCTATGTGATTTTCGACATAAAGACACAGATGCTTACAGTTGACAAGTCTGAGTCAGGACAAATCCGCGTCCTAGATTCTACTGGAAGCCACAATCCAATTTAATTCTATAGCTAAATTTTCACACTAAAAAACATGAAAGTACACTCTACAATTTCTTTCAACTGTTTAATGAGAACATGTTATTTGACAGATATGGAAAGAATCATTGATAAGTAGTATCACAAATCTCAAACGAACTTCTTTATGTTTTAGTCAACAAGTTTGGTATCAAAAGTTGATAGTTCAAGATTTTTTAATAAGAACATATTCCTTTTTTTGTAGGAAAGTCTTAATGGAATATAAAATTTAAGCTTAAATGGGACTGCTATTTTCTAGTTATCCATACATAAATATTATCACTTACACTAAACATATTTAAACTTTTTCATAAAAGTTTAGTTAGCTAATTTTCTCATCATTTCAAACTGTAACTAATCGTACATCTTGGATGAAACTTATAATTTTTTCGCCCCTTGAAAACTCCATTTTTATTGATATTTATCAAAATTGATGGACCACATTTCGAAATTAACAGCTATAGCTATTGTTACTATATAGAGAAAGTTATTTATTCACCACTAATCTTAAGTTCATCGGTTAGATTTCGGACAGAGTCGTGGTTGTCCATTTGTGAAGAGTTCCATACTACTATAATACAAATATCTAGTGCTGGCAATTTTTTTTACTAATTTCTCAGTTAATTCCGATCCGTAATCAAAAGTAACTTCAACTAAAAACTAATCTCCAAACTTCTTATTTTATCATTATCCCCATTTTTAATAAACTTAATTTACTCACAGGTAGAATCATATCGTATGTTACCACAAATTATTTTACAGATTGCCTAAATGTGGAAATATTAGCTATTAGGTTCCATTCCAGTGGTAAAATAATTAGGCGTTCCCTGAATGACCTGAAATATTTGGTTCCCATCCCTAGTAAAGTCATGAGTCAATGTTGCTAAAGGGTTCCAGATTAGGACAACATTAACGCTTGATAATCCTTATTTTCTAATGGTACTCAACTGAGTCTGTTATTATTATCAATTGCAAATCAACTTGATCTTTACGGAATTCTTCA